GGCGATGTGTGTCTTCGATACGTGGTTACAAAGTTTGGCTCTGATGTAATCCATGAATAATTAGATGTATTGTAATTAATGCATCGTTAGTGATACTTAAAAGAATATTTTATTCATGAATAAATATTATTCAAGGACAGTTGTATTATAACTTTTGAAAAAAAACATGCCGTTTCACCAGCTAATTTTTATACATCAGACATATACAAGACAAGCCGCGAATAAGAATTTGTATGATATTGTGATGTTAATATAATATAAATACTTCTATTAACTTGAGTTATGTTTATATATTTATAATATCGAACAAAGAGTTTCAACGATTTCAGTTGTAATAAGGTCAGTTTTATTTTAATAATAGCGATACTTTCTTGTTTCCTAAGTTATGAGGAAAGTGTTTCTTCCACCCTATTTTAGAGTATAAAGAAAATTCTCTTTAAGATATTTTAAGCATTAATTCATTTTCTGTCGTATTTTAAAGCGAAATCTTAATTCAGAAACAAGTGAATGTTATAGAAATGTCACAAGTAATGTAGCAATCATTACATTTCAAGTAAAATTTAATATTTATTTTTTTCTATCCAAAAATTAAACAATACTGTAAAACGTTAAGAAAACGACAGAATATTAAAAATACTATGGTTGATGTCGTGAACACGTTTAAATGGTAAATACAGTACTTAATAATTTTAAATATAAAGTTTATAATAAGAGAATGATTAGCTGTAAAGTGAGTTTCGTTAATTTGAATAAATTCCTTTATTTCATAATAATAAATTGTTTAGAACATTAATAAAGTTGTTCTCTAAATGTTGTAAAAGTAACGTTTTAAAGCAATGAATAATTAAATTGGTAATAAACATTCGAAATTGTTAATTATAGAAAATGCAAATACAGTTGTGCAATAAATTTTTAAAAAAATACATTTTGTATACATTATATTAATGTTAATTACGTTGGAAATCTAAATTTATTATTTATCTGGATGCGAGTTTGTTGGTAGAAGAAATGAGCTTTAAGTGAAATTTTATAGGGCTACAATTTAAAAAATTGTAGACCAATAAATTCCCACTGTCGACAGTCCGGCTGTTTGTCTGCTCTTCCTTTATCTCAGAAAAAATAACATAATTGCTGTTTTATCTAAACTTGCAATATTTTCGTTATTATTCAAGAATATCCTTGAAATTGACTTCTGCATTCAAAACCTATCAATATATATTTTTAAAGTATTTTTCATTCATTAACGTGATATAGCTACTTTAAAAAACTTTTTTATATTTCTATAACAATATAAAAATTTGTGAAAGATATGTATTTATACATATCAATAAACACATAGATTTAGTATATGTCTCTTTAATCTGAATTAGTAAAAACGGTAGACTTTCTCTCAGCTATTAGGTTAGGTACTGCTTTATTGCAAATCACAAATGCATTTCGGCCCTATATCAGCCCCTTTTCTGTGTAAACGCTTCACATATAAAGCATAAAATATAAAAAATTAATTGATTTACAAATTTTTCACGAGAAGATGATTTTTACAGAAAATAAATAAATTTTTTGGTTAGATTTACCTTAGGTAGCCAAAATGGCCGCTCATCTCTGATTCCAGCAAACAAAAGAAAGGAAACAGTGGGGACGCACGTTCTAACATAACCTAACCTAACCTATTCAAATAATTTGGTCGGAAATAATTATGGTAATTTATTAGAATAGGTTAGGTTAGGTTAGGTTAGAACGTGCGTCCCCACTGTTTCCTTTTTTTTTTTTTGTTTGCTGGAATCTGAAACGAGCCGCCATTTTGGCTACCTAAGGTAAATTTAACCAATTTTTTTTACATACCTCAGAAGACAGAGTAACGCTTTTCTAATTGCATGACACACACAATGATGTTTTCGGCGTGTACTCCTCCCTGAAAAACACTTAAAATTATTTATGTCATGTTCCAATATCTCCACTTTCATTGTAAGGGTTACCAACCTGTTCTTTTTATCCATTTTATTTTTAAATAGTTCTTCTCAAGCATATACTAAATCTACGTATTCATCAGCTACCACACCTAAAATTTCTATATCTATATTTCTTGCTCGTGATATAGCTTAATAAATGCATTCGGAAAATATGCCCACGATACACCATTTAGAGAGAATTTCGTTTCTTCATATATTGAGCCAATCTAAAAAATTCTGCAAAAAGATACGTCTTTCATGTTTCCTTTCTAATGTCATTAGCTTTCTGAATACATTTTGCAGGCAAATTCCTTTGTAGGTTGTCTTTCCGTTGACAATTTCTAACCAGCCGTTTATAATATTAATCGACTTTGCTCTCCATTCATAATCCAAAATACTATTTGTCGGGATAAAATCGTCCGACATAGGATTTCCCGCTTTTCAATCGAACGACGGTTGCCACTATGGGAACGTCGATGAGGCGACTTTGGAAACTCGACCGCCGATTGGCTGGAATACATCGTACGACCAGCGGACGTCTGATAGCGCTACTAAGCGCTGATTGGTGGAATTCCATTTGTCTCAATCCGTATAAGAGGATTGAATTTAGGCGGGAAGTTTAGTTTGCCAAGGACATTTCCAGGGAACTCACGTTCGTTTAGCTTCGCCTAAGCTTGCCTAGAAGATTGTTTCGTCTCGATGAGCGGTAACTAACGTTTGAAGGAGTTCGTCGCAAGGTGTCCTTTTCGACGGACCTGTTGTTGTAGCTTAAAAGTATTTGAACTTAGTTACACCTGAAGTATTGTAATTGTTTTCTTTGTGAACTTTTGTAACTGTATGTACGTTTTACTCGTAATATAAACGTTTTGTGGAAATTCAACAACGTCTCGTATCGTTTTGAATTTGACTCTATTTTTTTTCCTAATTTTCGCTTGCCTTCAGAAATATATTTCTTAAAAATTTTCAATGCTACGGCAACATTTCAACAGCGTAAAAACTTGAAATCGCTAAAGCATTGCGTTTTCTGAAATCTTTTTCATTTTCCATTTATTTGAAAGCAATCGCAAATAGCGATATATTAACTGAAATATTGCTTCCAATACAGTTGCTTGTGTTTCGTTGAACAGTTATCGGGATTGTTTTTATAAAACAATCCCGACATTTCGCCTATACTTTCTTATTGTCATCAGTTTTTACCAGAAGCAATAAATTTTATACGAAGCATACTTTTACATCGTCATATTGGTAACAACAATGTAATCGCACGTTCTCGTGATGCGGCCCAAAGTTTTAAAGAAACTGCAGATCTACAAACATAAATTGTTTTATTTACTTGTGCTCAACACAATACAGTGAGTCGAAAAAGTTTATATTTTTCTTATAATGTTAGGTTTATTGTGTATCGTATTTTACGGCATGTAAGATGCTAGTGTTTTTTTTTTAAACAAGGGGTTATGTATAAAGGCGCGGTCTTACATAGAGAAATGAATGCCCCAAATGGCTTTTATTAAGCTACATATATCACTATCTTAGACTTACTCTGGAATAAAAATTTTAATATTTGATTAGATTAAAAATGGTATTTTAATAGTTTCCCTACAACTAACCATTTTTTATATGCATTCAGGAATGGCAAATTTTAACTGTAAAAAATATATAATTTTAAGCTTATATTTTTTTCTAATAAGTAAAGGTGTGCATCCCAAGTCTACAGTTTTACTTTTTTCATACAGAATACAAAGGAAACATCCTGTTCTGAATGCCGAAATTCTAGAATAAATAAATACTTTATCGTTAATGTTAACTGCTAAAATGAAGTTTCCTATTAAATCGTGTATAATATGATATATAACATTTCAAAATGCTATTTTCCTTCGCATTACAACAAATAAAAATCAACTATTCCTTGCATATAAACATTATAAAGTATTATTATTACAACACACTTCGTTTATTCTTTTCCCTTCTTTGGTAAACTGTTATATATTATAGATAATAATATATAATAGTCATTTCGTTTTCTGGTTGGTAATAACAAGACAAAACGATTATATTGTTACTTTTTATGTAGGATCTTGATTCATCTTTAAAGCATACAACTTTAATCAGGAACACCATGGCTACAACGACAGAAAACAGAAACGGATCAACTGAAGTTGAGGTAATAATTATATTTATTATTTCATATCACTGCTTTGAGGACATTACAAATTATAGTTAAACACATACTGATAGCCTCACTACTAACTAATGGTGCTCGCTGTATCGGTTTCCCATTGAATATGAGTGTTATATCTGCACGCAAGTCCTGAGGCTATCGGAGATTAGTCTGGCATTTTACATACACGCTTGGTGGAGAGAATAAAAACTACAATATGCGATTTTTCTATAGAGCGAATCTAATTTATAACATTTTACGATCTACATTCGTAAAAATGTTTTTGCCGCCTTTTCATTAAAGAAAATTTGAAAGTGACTAACAATGAAAATACAAGTGTAACCTTTATGAAAAATTACAGTACAGTTTGATGGTATAATAAATTACAATACTTAATAGTGGATTTTTTATTTACGTAACGTATACGCGAATTATTTCAAATCAATCTTTATAAAACGTTAATCAATCGAAATAAGTGTATAAAATAAACTCTCACGGGATATATTCTGTATCTCATTCTGCACCATTTTTCATTTATTTTCGGCAGTTGTATTTTTAATTTTTAACAAAATAACTAACAAATAAAACTTTACATTCGTCATATGAAGATGTGAGAAGACTGTTGATACATTTATTGTTGCTAATACTTTCCCATGTTAGGTATATATATCAACCGGAAAGTAACACAATTATGTTAATTCCTCGTTTAGAGTCATTAGAATGGATATATTCAATCTGTAGAAATACACTTTAAATGTTAACAGTTATGTAAATGTATTTGCAGGTGAATAAATTTTTATGATTTTCGAAGTATTCTAAAAATATTCTTACAATTGTAGTTAGTACATTGTTGCAAGAAGAGTCTTCTTCTTTATCTTCGTCTTTTCCCATGTTTATATGAGGTCGGCGTTTCCTTCTCTAATACGTTTCCTCCATTTCTCTCTATCAATTGCTCCTCTCTTATGTCCTTTCTGATTCAAGTTTTCCTCCACTTTATCTTTCTTGGTCTTTCTCTTTTCCTCTTTCATTTTACTACCAGTTTTCCGATTGTCTCTTATCTCTACGTGGTCAAAACCTCTCAACCTACATTCTTGCACCTTCCTGATCAAGGAGCCCACCTTAACAGAACCTCTAATAAAATCGTTCCTTATTCTATCCTTCTTTGACATCCATCTCATCTTTCTCATCACCGCCACCTCCATTTTTATTTTTGGGGTCTTATGATTGCCCGTTTCTCAGCTCCATATAACATTGCAAGTCTAACAACCGATTTGTACAATTTACCTTCAGCTTGCTGCTAACTTTCTTGTCACATACCACACCGCTCAGCTTCCTCCAGTTCATCCATTCATATTGAGTTCTATGCTGAACGTTCGAGTTTAATTTTCCCTCATCTGGACAAAGGCTTTAAGATACTTAAAACTCGAAACCGAAGATAGCTGCACACTTTGATTTTACAATTGCACTCGTCCCTGCCATTTAGAGTCGTGTATGCTGTTTTAGTTCTGCTAAACCTCATATCTCTTTCTTCCAAAACTTTTTTTCAATCTTTCAGTTTGTTTGGGAAGTTTGTTTGGCCTTTTGGGAAGGTTAACACAGCGCAATATCATCCGCAAACAGCATACTCCACGGCGCCTCACACTTCATGTCTCACACCATGTCAAACAGATACGGGCTAAGGGCCGATCCCTGATGTAAACCAACATTAACGGAAAACCCTTTTGTACGGCCAACACTATTCTTAACTTGAACCATCGCTCCCTCGTAAATATCCCTGACGAGCCTAAAACATATTTTTATCGAACATTGTTTTTTCTTAAACGTCTCCATACTTCTTGCCTCGGTATCCTATCATAAGCCTTTTCCAGATCTATAAACACCATGTGCAAATTTTCTTGCATTCCCTGTGTCTTTCCATTAGCTGTTTCAAAGATAGCATCAGTCATACCCCTTCCCGGCATAAAGCCAAACTTTTCCTGTCTATTTCTTCTTTCGACAATTTTCTCCCAATTGTAGCAAGAGCAATAACGTTAAAATCGTGTTAAATTTGACCATTCGAGCATTTTGCAAATTACCACGTTTTTAGACCCAGTGAATTCAAAAAAGAAAACATGAACCACAAAAAAAGTTAGTGGACATGTATGTATGTATGTTTGGGTGAATGTATAGGTGTTTGTGTTTGTGTATTGGCTCTATTTTGCTGAATATATTAGGATTTGGTAAAGATTTTAAGAAACGAAATTTGACATGATATATGAGGACATCAATGCTATTAAAGTTTATTCGAGGTAGTGAGAAAATATAGGAAATAAACGAGGTCGTGTGTATTTTCAGTAGGGTCAGACTTAATGTCGATTTTGTCCGTTATTAGCATTTATTCTTTTATATATATATATATATAAAACTCATCCCTACCTTTAAAGGTAAGTTTTTGCCATTTTATACTACGTAAACATATAAAAACATTTTTATAACAAGGTCTATAAACATAAGGTTTTTTATTAAGAAAATTTTAAAACTTATAATGGTTCAAAATACTCACTCAGCTGTTGAAATTCCTGTATATCATCCTGTAGATGATTACCTTCAATATGTTTTTTCATACTAGCGACTAAACCAACCATTTCTTTCCTACATACTGTATTTTGAATTGCTCCCTGCATGCCGGTTTTCCTGGATTTCCAGAAATTAGTTTGTACTGGTTCCAGATATTATCAAACCTTCTTCCTGCAGACAAGATATCGTCATGCATCGCAGCAGTGGCATATTGAGTTTTTTCTGTGTGTACTGTACGTTGTTTCTAGAGAAGCTAATTGTTTGCCACTTTCGAATTCAATTAGTTGGATATCTTTTACGTATATATATTTTAAAATAGTTTCATATTAGCACCGAATTGTAAAAATTTGACAGCCAAAGGTATAACATTGCTTTGTTTTTCATCTGACAGATCCAGGAGTGTTCATGTGTCAGAGTAACCTTTAAATGAAAAGATACTCCATGTGAAATTTTAAAAGGAATTCTACGTTCGAACTCGAAGTCTACACAGCATGAAGTCTATATTTTGATACGTGAACTGTGCACTCAATATGGCGACTACTGCGATGCATCACGGTATCGTGTCCTGACCTTATGATTATATGCTGTGTATTATAATTAAAATCATAAAAGTTATTCTCTAAATAACTTTTCATAACAGCCGGAATAGTTATGCAACCGTTGCTGGATTGTTTTGATAGGAAACGGCGAAAGAATTTCAAGACTTTACAGATCTTATCGGTACATTTGGAAGATGGCAGAAAATTTTAATCAGGGTAATGGCGTGGTCTGTCATTGTTACGGCATTAAACAATTTAAATTGGCCCTTCTTGGCGTACAAGGTGGATTATTGGTGCGCGAGAACACCGAAATACATTAACTTGACCGTGGAAGAGTGGAAAAATATCAGCGTACCTCTGGACATCAGAAACGGGAAAACAACGCATAGTCGATGTGAAGTATACGATATTAACGATACGAAATATGGAAAGAACTTTTCAAAGATTCCTTGTCGCTCGTGGGAATACGATCATTCACAATATAAAAACAGTGTCATTGAAAAGGTAACAATGAAAACTTTTCAATTAAATGTGTATTCAAAAGTTGATTTTATTTGAAATTTTTAGTGGAATTTAGTTTGCGAAAGTTCTTGGTTGAGTTCTCTCGCTGGATCTTCTTACTTCGTGGGATTCTTCTTATCCGGTATTGTATCTGGTCAGATATCTGATAGGTATGAAAACCTGCCATTTTTATTTCATTGAAATGTTATACTGTAATTTTATAAAAGCATATTAATTATATCGATATTTACGTAGATATGGCAGAAGACCGGTGATAATATGGGGTCTCGTGTTTCATATAACCTTTGGGATTCTTTGTTCATTTTCTCCATATTACTGGATGTTTACTGTATCTCGTTTCTTCTTGTCTGCAGGAATTACAGCATGTAATCTGACGTTCTATGTATATGGTAAGTCGTATATTAAATTCATACACTGAACAAAATAACAACGTACATTGGCAATGTTCATATATTGACTACAATACAGTATAGACTAAATTTCCTAAATGTTTACAGCAAAAACATAAAAATAACAATCATAATGACGTACTTAGTGTATTTTAATTTGTTATAATTACGAAAAATTAGAGAACGCTATTAATTAATACACATGGATGCATTAAAGAATAGTTGAATTGCTTGTATCAGAATACACAAATATAAAAATTTTCTGGTTTCACTACCAGGAAATCTCATATCTTCGAACAAGTATGTAAAATTAAATGTATGCGAAACTTTGTTAATATATGGTACTAGCTGTTACCCGCGGCATTTTTTGTATTTGATAAATATAGCTGCAGAGATTGTTATTCTTTCATTTGACAGGCGTTAAAATTTACATGTGCAGTCTATATTGTTTAAAAACCAATTGACATTGAGAACAGCTGGTGACTGCTTTCCCGGGACATTTACATGGTAAGAATGGTAGAAGTTTAGACCGATTTAATTACTTTGATTAAAAAAAGTCGAATAAAATAACATAAAGGCAATTAATATGGTAATTAATAAAATGTTATAAAAAATTTTCACTGCAAAAGTAATTAATAAAATTTTCATAGATAATAGATAAGAATATATATGTGTTAGCCTATACATTTTTGGAAAAGGACTGTTATTTTTTTCGTAACGCTATGGAGATAACTGGGATGAAGAACTAAAGAATATCTATATATACATAAAGATACAAATCAAGTTATGATTCAGGTAAAACTTTATAGCAAGCTATAGAAAATTTTAAAACATAATGATTCAAAATACTCACTCAGCTGTTGAAATTCCTGTATATTATCCTGTGGATGATTATCTTCAATATGTTTTTTCATACTAGCGACTAATTCAATCATTTCTTTCTTACATACTGTATTTTGAATTGCACCCTGCATGCCGGTTTTCCTGGATTTCCAGAAATCAGTTTGTACTGGTTCCAGATATTATCGAACCTTCTTCCTGCACTCATTTTTACATATGCAAATTTTAGTGTAAATATTTACGTTTTATATTTGTGGCGTAGTAAATACTAGTATTGTGTTTTATTCCAAAGACACATGGCAAATTTTCCATAAAATTCCTTTATTAGTTGAGTCGAGGATTGAAGACAACGGTTCCCTTCTCTTCAATCCTCGACTCAACTAATAAAGGAATTTGATGGAAAATTTGCCATGTGTCTTTGGAATAAAACACAATACTAGTGTTTACTACGCCACAAATATAAAACGTAAATATTTACACTAAAATTTGCATATGTAAAAATGAGTGCAGGAAGAAGGTTCGATAATATCTGGAACCAGTACAAACTGATTTCTGGAAATCCAGGAAAACCGGCATGCAGGGTGCAATTCAAAATACAGTATGTAAGAAAGAAATGATTGAATTAGTCGCTAGTATGAAAAAACATATTGAAGATAATCATCCACAGGATAATATACAGGAATTTCNCGGAGTGTCTTGGTTCCTCAAAGATTGGACTTATATTCAATTATGCGGCATTTTGCCATCTATTATAATACTCCTGCTCATCAGGTAATGTTAATTTAGTGTTTTAATTATATTATATGTTATGAAAATATATTTTGGATTAGTTATATACCGGAGTCTCCGAGATGTCTGATTACTCACGGTCGACTACGTAAAGCCGAAGACGTTATACGAAACATAATGGAAAAGAATAAAAGACACACCGACGATTTACCCGAAGTTATTGAAGAACTTTATTAAAAAATTAGAACGGTAAATTGATTTTAATAATACATAACTTAACGTTTCTACTTTGATTCGAAAGGACTGTTGAATTTAAAAAATAAAATCAGTGTGTATTTGGAAATGGAACAGAAAATGGGACGTAAGGAGTGGCGGAGGAAGTTAAGGCGTCAGCCTCTAGTTCTGTGTAGACTGGACATCGGAAAATACATGTTTTTTTTCCAGAAATGATCTGTTTCTAATGTGTTGTGTCCTTCATCATACCTGTTCCTCCTCCCGTTCTGATCGACCAACAATGAATTACATTAAACGACTTTCTTAGTGACCACACATTAAAGTGTCCAAATAGAACATAAATTGTATATAAACACTTCTAATACGTTTCTGTCTGTTGTACAAATTAAATGG